CTTTCAATATCGAACATATCCATATAGTAATCCATATGTACGTCCCTGCTCACTGCAAGGGGGAGGGAGAGTGGGGGGGGTGGAGTAGGTGACCTCTAAAGGTTCCTTCCAACTCCAAACATTCTATGATTCTATGAAACTAAACCATATTTTGTTGCCCTAAGTGGGAAGCGTGGGCTGTGAGAATTAATAACAACAGCGGGAAGGTGGAAAAGGCCTCCAAAGGCAATGGATGCCCATGTCCCTGCTGCTGTGGGATGCAGGGCACCATCTCAGGGCAGCGGCAGGAAAACCGCTGGCTCCCATGTGGTCCAGGCACTTTTCAAACTGGTATTTCTGTGCTGCTGGGAGGGCTGACGGGTGGGGGCAATGGGGCTGGTCAGGGAAGTGGGGCACTGGGACGGGGTGAGGTGGAAACCCAATGGGGCACCACAACATGGGCAGGGCAAGGAGGCACTCGATGCCCTCTGATCTGCCTGAGGAGATGTCTTTGTTTTCTTTTGGTCTTTACAAAGAAACAGCATTTTTTCCTTATTTTTGTTGTAAAATTTTGGTGTAATCAGCTCACTCCCACCACTGACACTCGTTTCCTGCTGCTGGGTAACACTGAAGCTATTACTTGAGTATTTATTTTTCCATGTTTCTAATTACTTTGTGCTGATGTTATGTGAGAATGGCGAGTCTCTGCCTCCTTTAATACCTGCCACATGCTGGGTCGCCTGTATACTTTAGTACCTTGACACATTTTTCAGGTATTTCCTGCTATCATTTACCTCTTTAGTTCTGATCTTACTAGTTTTGGGTATAGGATAAAGCTGATGGGGCTATAGGCCAGAAGGGCAAGCGGACAGAAAGCACAGGGCTATGCGAGGCCATTTAGAGGCAACTCCTCTTACCAGTGGTGGTTACGAGTGGTGAAATCCTGGGGGTTTTATCACTCCTTTTTTTTTTTAATGGAAGTCAGTGAGTTTTGCTGCAGTAGAGACGATAGAGACTGATGGTGCAGAAATACATCGGTACGCTCAGATATAAATAGCCCATGTGGGGCTGCTCTGGCAACAGCCGCATAGCTCTTTTGCTTATAAATCTCTGTTTGGGGGTTTTTAAATTTTATTTGTCAGACATTGAAATTTTCCATGTGTGGGAGGTCTCTCCTAAACTGATTTTATTTGGAAGAGAGCAGCAAAAACATTTTTTTTGTGAAATGAAGGGGAGAAATATTTACTGAAAAATGAAAAGGGGGCAGATATACATATATATATATTTATATATATATAATTTTGGCTACGTTAAAGCCTTGTAAGAATTATGGTGCCATTGCCCTCTGAAGCCCGGAGCACACAGGCGCTGGCCCTGGCCCGTCTGCTGCGCTGCCAGTGCACTTGGTGCTTTGCAGAGCTGATTCCTCTTTCCAAATTAAACTTCTGGTTCTCAGAGGGCTGGAGGCAAAGCAGCGCTCTGGAAGCACTCGCTCCTGCTGGATTTTGTGTTTATCCCTTCTGGCAATCCCAAAGCAACCTGAGCATTGTCCGGGACCTGAGGGTGTTACTGTGGAGCCACAGGGACCAAACTTGGCAGCAGCCCTGCTCACCTGCGAAGTTTTCGCGCTGGGGGTGCATTATTTTTCCCAGCAGCTTCATTGCCCGGCTGACGCAGGAGCGCGCGTCCCTGCAGCTCCAAGGAGAGCCCGTCCCTCCCTCGAGCAGGGCTTTTCTGGGCTCTTGTCCAGCACTAAATATGGAAAATTCCAACAGTCCGTCCTGCCCGTTGTCAAGCTGTTTGGGATCTTTTAACTTCAAAAACAAAGGTGAACGAAACTGGTTATTTTACAGCACATTCTAGTTGGAAAAAAACAACCAACCAATTGCCATGCCAGGCTCCCCGATGATACCTGCTATCTCCTGGCACAGCAGAGCTGCCATGAGTTAGACCCCACCAAAGATCAGAGAAACGCTGACCTGCAGATTCTAAAAAATCATAGAACCCTAGGTTGGAAGGGACCTCAAGGATCATCTAGTCCAACCTTCTAGGTAAGAGCACAGAAAAAAGCTTGCTTTGATTCTAATCTGGGTAATTTGTATTAATTACCTGATGTGAACAGTAACAGGCTGTTCCCTGCCTGCCGACCTGCGTTACACCTGGCCTCTTCAGCTGTGATACACATGAAATGAAGGAAGAATCAGCCTTTTTCTGAAGCTTTGCTCGATGTCAGCTTCTCACCTGTGGTACTCCAGCTATTTTTCTCCATGAAACTTTACCAATCTTATTGTAAACACCCCATTTAAATTTAAACACACCCCCCCCCTTTGTAGTTTCTGTGTGTAACACAGGTATTTGTGCTCTGACTGACTCCACTGACCCGACAAAGCTCCTAAGGGCACGAGGAAGCAGCAACAGCCTGCCCGCTCCCAGGAGCTCTGGGTACGGCCAGCGGAGCTTGGGCAGCAACGTGGGGATAAACCAAAAGTTTCTGGCCGGTGTCTACAGGAAGGGAAATTTTCCTAAATGTATTAAGTACCCCAAAGCCACGCTTAATCAGAAATTTGGAATTTTGCTTTTTCAAAGTTTAACATGTTTTTGAGCAGCGGGGAAAGGAATTCCTTGACTCCGTCGTCACCGCAGCCACGCTCAGTAACGCCACTTGCACGAGCACTTTGGCAGTTTTCCTCCAAACCCTGTTACGAAAGAAGTTGCCTTGCTTGAAATCCCAGGCCTTGTTCTCCTCTCTTTAGACTAATGACAGCCTGGAGCTGCCAGCCTGCTTCAAAAGGACGGGTAAGGCGGCAGCGCCATCCCCTTAGCTCCGACTGTGTTTGTGCTTGTTCCATTTAATCGGAACAGTGTTGTCGTCTCAGCCTTGCGTGAAGGATGCGTTGTCACGCAAAAGCCCAGCTCTGAAAACACGGGTAGGGCTGTATCTTGAAACACAACTGTTTCGTCGTGCCCGCTGCTTACCTTGGTGCAGCAAAGCAAGACGGGAGAGTTTCGAGTATTTGCAGCTTTACTGTGAAAAACACCGTTGCTTGCTCAACACGGTATTAACGAGCAGAACCGTAACTGCTTCAAGGAAGCATTAGCTTTGGATTAGCATTTTGGATTTTGCCTAGAAAGGTTGGATGAGGTGATCCTTGAGGTGCCTTCCAACCTGGTATTCTACGATTCTATGATTCTGTGATTCCCAGAAAAGGAAGAATCATAGAATCACGGAATGTTTTGGGTGGGAAGGGACCCCCAGAGGCCACCCAGCCCAACCCCCCTGCAGGAGCAGGGACACCTTGAACCACATCAGGTTGCTCACAGCCCTGGCCAACCTGGCCTGGAATGTTCCCAGGGATGGGGCCTCCACCACCTCCCTCGGCAACCCGTTCCCGTGTTTCACCAGCCTCACTGTAAAGAATTTCTTCCTTGTAAAGAACCCAGCCACCTTTAATTCTGGCTTCAAAACTGCCCAACTTTTTTCTCAAATAAACAATTCCAAGGCAGCACTCTGGCATTATCCAGTGCCCTCGACTGGGGCACAGAATTCAGGTGAGTTATTTCCACAGAAGCCTACAAAGCTCAACATCCACGAGCTGGGCAATAATCCTCAGCCTTGCAGCCAGGACACACGCCGCTCCCTTCCCCTTGTGAGTTCCGAAAACAGCAAAACAAAGCACAAACCAGCAAAGTGAAGCACAAACCAGCAAAGTGAAGCACAAACCAGCAAAGTGAAGCACGTCAACAAGACAGAGATTACAGAAGCAGCAGTTGTTGTTATTCCACTGCTGCTTCCTCCCATCAGGAGCAGCAGCTCAAGCGAACTGAAAAATGAGACCCCACGGCTGCTGACAACATTCCTCTCCCCTTCCATACTTTTTGGTTTTGTTTAGGTGGCACAAGCAGGCATCAGGCGACTGTGAATGCATTGCTTTGCGTTTGGCAACTCTCTTAATAGTCTGTCTCAGAGGCTTGCCAGCAAAATCAACGCTGAAATAATAAAAAAAGAAATCATCAGGAAGTTAAACAATTTAGTAGGCACGCTTCAGCCTCAACTAGCAGATTTGTTCAAACAAGAAAAGCTCAGTATCAGAGCCCACATGCATCCCTGTTTTATGATCTTAAACAAGTAAGGCATTACTGATTCCAGAGTTCACCACTCACTGCAACCTGGGAGTAAATACTCTAATTAATCACATGCAGAGCATACTACCAGTGTGACAGAACATGGTACCCAAACACAGGCATGCAATAGCTACCGCAGCTGCGGGCTCACACCACCACTCTGTCATAGTGAAAACTACACAAATTTCTCTCCATGTGACACGAAGGAAAGAACTAGCTTATAGGATCTGGAGTGAGTCACGTTTCAATGAAGAACCCACCCCTTGCACTAAAGAAAAGAAATACATTGAAGAAATAACCCCCAAGGTCAAGTACAAGAATGGTAACATACACCACCATAGGGATTTAACGGGCTTCAGTCGCTGCCAGCGTTACAGCACATCTCCAGCTCCCTGTAAGCCGTTTTCGCTTGATGCTGGCAATGAGATTCATCCCTACCTCCGTGCCTGTCAGTCGAACATAAACCTGGCTGACAGCTCTTCACTTGTCATACTCCAGTCTGGCTTGTGATTACACACAGGAGTACTATAACCAATTAACGATTGCGGTAAATCACACAGAAATAAAATCTTTCTCTTCTAAAATATACCCGTTTAACTGAAATAATCTAAAGCAGACTTTCATTAACTATTGTATCATTAGCTCCACATAAATTAGCAGGAGCTGGTACTTTGAGCCACAAAAAGTTCTAGCGTTATTTGTGAAAATAGAATTAAACACCGATGGAACTGTCCTATGCATGTACCGGGCTCAGGGCTCAGTTCTTTTCTACTTAGACTTTCTTTGATGCCATGTCGAACAGCTCTGATTTCTAGCAATGGGAGGAAAACTGCAAATCACATTATTCCCTGTGATGATTTTTAATCAGAATTTAAGAAGCAGCCTAGAGAGCGAGCCACGCTGTCAAACAGGGTACAAAATCTTTATTCACCAATAAGTTAAGTGTTCTTATAAATAGATGTTCCGGTCTTTTGTACACTGTGCTGAGTGTAAAGCTAAGCTTCAGTTATTCCTCAGACTCTGATCCTTCCTCATCTTGGCTGATCTGGAAGTAGCGCAGTTCGTACGTCTCCTTGTCAGATGCAACGACACGAAGCCAGTCACGCAGATTGTTCTTCTTGAGGTACTTCTTTGTGAGGTATTTCAGGTACCTTAAAAACAGGAGTTATACATTAGAACCGCCTCATTTCACCACCCATACTGCCGCCTGCGCTCCACCTGACACGGCCCTAGCAGGGCAACACCACGCTAATTATAGCCAGAAATAACAAATTATCACGTATAATAGATAATAAAAGTGTATTTTCATTCCAGATACATAAGGATTCATGTTTTGTTTTTTTTTATTTGATGCTTTTTGACTACACAGCACAATGCCAGTAACTTGAAAGCATTGAGAAGCGTTTCTAAACCTTGGTCTAACACAAAAGATATCGGGTGCATATCAGCAAAACGAAGGGGGGGACGCAGGGAAGGAACTGCAGCCCTAGCCAGGGTGCTCACCCGCTGCACGCCCCAACTCACCAAGCCCTTTGACTCCACGGGCTCTTTTGCAACACCACGTGTGCGTACGCGTGCATTTTTATACAACCAATTAAGTCCTAAAGCAGCCACCTGTGACGTGAATTCAGTATGACTTTTAAAAGCATCTCTTTCCTTAATTATACTTCTAATGACCTATATAAAGCACCTCAGTATTACTATGCTTATGCTAGAGGAAGTATTAATTTGCCATCAAATCCTGTGTTTTAAAAAGCAGTTTTTTAAATATCTAACATTATAAATCTGGTTGAATTACATCTTTCACCAACACGTGTAAGTGCTATGAAGAAGGTTCGCTCTAACGCCCCCTCTGTACCTCTCAGAAGTGTGTCATGGTCAGCATACGACTGTTCAAAATCCACTACAGCCAAGTGCAACATAAGGAAACCTGTGCCAACCTTTTAGAAAATTGCTTCTCGGATGTCACCGTGATCTTGTTCTTCAGGCGTTCAATGTGAACGGTGTTGCCCAAGTTTCCAGTTTTTCCATTGACCTTAACCTTCTCCTTTAGGAACTGTTCCTGTTTCAACGTTAAAGAAAGAGAACACTAGGGAATGGCACCCTAGGTATGAACTAGGGAAGGGACCCTAGCCGTATAGCAACGTTAAAAATCACCATTTACTGATGTCCTGACAGCAAGTATTTACAATGCAGAAAGATTTTCCAGCGTGTAATTGAAAAGAAAAAAAAAAAAAAAAAATCAAATCAGCCCCGTGCTAAAGCAGGATTCAATTTAAAGTAGTTCTATTCACGGGTCGGTATGAACCATCACATCTATGAAAGACATCTAAACTCAAGAAGCTTTCAAAAAGCGCTGATAATTTAAAGAACAGCTGTTGATTTTACTAGTTTAAAATGCACCTTCCAGCTGTGTTTCAGTTGCCGTACTGTACTGAGGCTGCTGTTACACTACGCACGCAAAGCATGAGCAAAACCACGACTTACAAAATTCCCAGAATCAAAAATTCCATCTTCCACAGGATGAGTCAAGTCCAGGCAAAACTTCCAGGTTGACTTCTTAGATTTTCTATCCTTTTGCTATAAAACATCCAAAAAAAAAAAAAAAAAACCAAAAACAACCGAAAACCTAAGATTAACAAC